CTACACCTACAACTACAACCTACCATAATTTAGTTAGTAATTGACACCAGCGAGAAAAGTCTCAAAGGTATTTGAGAGGTCCATAAATTAATTTTAAAACCTTGCACGGCGTAGTTACAATTAATATGGTTATAAAATCCTGCCTGTCTGGTTTTTTCTGACTTTACTAAAGATTGGATGTATTTGATGTTTTTAATATTTTCGGTAACTAAATAAAAATAAAAAAAAGCAAAAACAATTTGGTTTTCACGTGTAATGGCGACATAAACAATGGCCGCCATAAATTTTATTGTACACATTGTAAGCTAAAAATAGAAAAAATAGGTCATGGTGTTTAAATTTGCATAGTTATTTAAAAACTTGATCTGCAAAGTTTTGTAAACAAAATAACTATAAAGTGGGGCTGTCAGAAATCGATCAGGGAGTTCCTTTACAGCCAATCAATGTTTGCCTTTTGAAAGTGAAACATCTGGTTATAACTTAGGCTTGATGAAAATAAACAGAAATGTAGCCTTAAACTCGACAAATTATTTTCAAGTTCTCTGGATCTGCAACTTGTATAGCATTGATTCTAAAAATATTAAATTTCTCAATGGACACCAGCGAGTTGACGAGATTCCTTCCGTAATGTTGTTGACATGGAATAAAAATGTGCTTTTTTAGATTTAGGACCATAAAACTAATAAAAGATAAAATTTTATTAAAAACTTAAGCCTAAAATTAATTCAGAAATGTAATATTTTTAGAATCAATGCTATACAAGTTGCAGATCCAGAGAACTTGAAAATAATTTGTTGAGTTAAAGGCTACATTTCTATTTATTTTCATCAAGCCTAAGTTATAACCCGATGTTTCACTTTCGTAAGACAAACATTGATTGGCTGTAAAGGAACTCCCTGATCGATTTCTGACAGCCCCACTTTATAGTTATTTTGTTTACAAAACTTTGCAGATCAAGTTTTTAAATAACTATGCAAATTTAAACACCATGACCCTATTTTTTCTATTTTTAGCTTACAATGTGTACAATAAAATTTATGGCGGCCATTGTTTATGTCGCCATTACACGTGAAAACCAAATTGTTTTTGCTTTTTTTAAATTTTTATTTAGTTACTGAAAATTTTAAAAACATCAAATACGCCTACACCCAATCTGTAGTAAAGTCTGAAAAAAACCATACAGACAGGATTTTATAACCATATTAATTGTAACTACGCCGTGCCTGATTTTTAAATTAATTTATGCACCTCTCAAATACCTTTGAGACTTTTCTCGTAAAATTTTATCTTTTATTATTTTTACGATCCTAAAACTAAGAAAGCACATTTTTATTCCATGTCAACAACATTACGGAAGGAATCTTGTCAACTCGCTGGTGTCCATTTGCCATTAGCCTTAGGGCATTAGGGCCTAATGGCCCTAAGGCCTAAGCCGCCGTAGTATGTAGCTTTTTCTGACAGGGGCAGACAACCTACCCCCAAAATCTCACCATGAAAAAATTTTGTGTTTTTAAAAAAAATATTTGGGGTACTCTCTGTTTTTTTGGAAATAAAAAAGTACTCTACTGTTTCCTGTCATTTCTACCACGTTTTTTGAACAGGAGAGGATCAGCTCTGTAATGAAGTAAAATTTTCATTTTTCCGATGTTTTTTTTACCAAGAAAACTTCAAGTGAAAAATTAGGTGAGCTTGAACCTATTACATTTATAATTATAACATTATTCTTTTAGCAGAAATGAGAATAACTTTACAGAAGAACCATTTACTCTTGTAACTAAACCATAAAAAGTTAAAAAACTCATCAGCAATTTACTTAAATTAATTTTTTCCCTAACTCAGTAGGGAAGCTTTTTTCAGCTGCCATCTTGTTTCCGTAATAGATAATATATAGTAAAAAATGTACTCATCTTAAAACCTTAGTGTTGCAATAAATAGCTGAGACTTTTAGCAGAATTGAGAATAACAATACAGAAGAACCATTTATTCTTGTAACTGAATCATAAAAAGTTAAAAAACTCATCAGCAATTTACTTAAATTAATTTTTTCGCTAACTCAGTAAGGCAGCTTTTTTCAGCTGCCATCTTGTTTCCCCAATAGAGAAAATATAGTAAAAAATGTACCCATCTTAAAACCGGTAAACGGAAAAAAAGTCACAGGAAAAAAAACCACAGAAAAAAAGTCACAGTTTTTAATAGGAAAAAAAGTCACAGTGGAAAAATTTTATCGGAAAAAAGTCACAGAAATAAAGTCACAAAAATCTTTTTAGAAATATTTTTATTAATTTGTTAAGAATTGTAAAATTTTCTATGTTTATTGTTGTGGGTTGTATTTTTTTATAGCATAAATTATTTATAGACGTTAAAAGATTATGATTTATAACAATTGTAAGTAAAAATACTCTAAGATAGTTAACACAACAATCTCAACTTTTGTTACGTATTTAGTTAAATACGCGGTAGAAAAGTTAATTATAAAAGAAATTTAGGCACATTTTGCCGTAGGCTATTCTCTGGTCGGCCTCTCCTCAGTAGGCATTGTCCAAACATATTTTGTGTTGTTGACATTATGCGTCAATGACAGCCTTTGAACCTTGTCGGCTTTCTGTTTTGATCCTAAGTTTTGTTATGTAATGAGCGTGATAAATGTGGGGAGTAAAGGTGGTTGATCTAAACATAACTATTGTTGCCATGAGTTGAGGGCAGCAAGTCAGATGAACTTACCATTTCACGGTAATTTAATATTGGTATTTAAAAAAAAAACACGATGAAAAACGTGGACTTTGGAGCATTCTATTAAATGCTACTAATCTTAAGTTTAAAATAATTACAATCTACATACTTCATAATAATTTTTTTTAGATGAATTATAAAAATTCCTATGCGTATACAGCCTACACCCATTACATTATATTTAATTAATCCTAAGTTAATTTGCACTCTCTAAATATTTAATACATAAAAGTATTAACAAATATATCATGCAAATATATATTTGTGACTTTTTTTCCTGTGACTTTTTTTCTGTGTTTTTTTTTCCTGTGTTTTTTTTTCCTGTGACTTTTTTTCCTACAATCCTTAAAACCTTAGTGCTGCAATAAATAGCTGAGACTTTTAGCAGAATTGAGAATAACAATACAGAAGAACCATTTATTCTTGTAACTGAATCATAAAAAGTTAAAAAACTCATCAGCAATTTACTTAAATTAATTTTTTCCCTAACTCAGTAAGGCAGCTTTTTCAGCTGCCATCTTGTTTCTGTAATAGATAATATATAGTAAAATATATACTCAGTTCAAAACTCCAGTACTTTAATAAATAGTTGAAGATTGAATCAGAAAAGTGAATAACTATACAGAAGAACCTTTTTCCCTTGTAATAGAATTATAAAATGTTCAAAAAGAAGTCAGCAATTTACTGAAATTAATTTTTTTCTTTTACAGAATTAAGTTACAAATTTCTTAACATATCTAGTGAATTTTGCAGAGCGTGCTGTTCCAGACAGCCCCAGAAATGATCAAGTAGATGAAGCTCGACCCCAGCAGCTGCTAGCGGACCGATGAGGATGTTTTTGGACAGAAGATAGTGGCTGATATGGTTCACCGGTATCTGTTGGTGGACAATAGGCTCCTGCGATATGTCCTGTCTGTGCTCTTACAGTCTACGCAGGATGTTAAGGAACGGCAGATATCCCCTTACTTGACTGGTAGCTATTCTGACCCTTCTGAGGAAATGTTAAAATGGACTCAGCTCCTGCCCACAAGATCCATGCTGAGAGGATGCTGGGATATATGGACTGATGCGCTGAGCTCTAAACACCACTGGGTTTTCTGGATTTCAGGATGAAGGCAAAGCTGAACTCAACCCTTCAGTGGCTGGAAAGGAAGTCAGAAGCAGAGCAGAAAGTCCTAGAGGGACAGCTCTGGGCTGGTAAGGACTGCAATTACTTCAGAAGGTTTTTGAATCAGAAGACTGGGATTCCTGTACAATCAATAATTGTGGATCTTGCAAACAGTGACCTCAGTTTTGATTAATAGTTAGTGGTGAGTTATTCATTTTATTATTATTTGTTGAAACACCCAGCTATTGAATTGTTTTAATCAGCTCAATATAATGTACAGAATAGTATTGACTGTATTGTAAGTAAATTAGAACCTACACATGAGGTGAGTAAGAAACAATTTTTCCCCTCATTTTAAATAAAAAATGTCTTTAAATAAAAAGCTAGGCCTATTCATTAATTAGGTATAGCCTAGTTAACTATTATTCTTTGCATTTCAGGGTACTTAATTGTATATTTGTATTGTAATATTATAGCCAAAATGTAGTTTTAAGTTTTTAAAGATAGTGCTCTCTCGGGCCTAACAATTTAAATTTTGAAAGAAAATTATTTAGGCCTAGTATTAATATTAAATTTTTTAATTAGGCCTATGCGCAAAATAATACCAAATTATTATAGCTGTAATTAAATTTTCTGTGTTATTTCAGGGCTGATATTATTGTAACTTTTATTTGTGATAAATTGTGATATAATATTTCCAAATACAATTTTTTTAAGATCATTTTGCTGTTTTTGTTTTTTTGCTTTATGTGTTATCTCTCTTTTACAATATTTGTGTTGTTCGCCTTATTAAAAAACAAAAAAAAATGATTTCTCAGCTTCTAATTAAGCTAGAAATACAAATGAAGTATCTATGTCATGTTTACCTTTAACACTATGTAACTAACAGGTTTATAAGGTATAAAACTCAATAATTCTAATCCAATGCTACTACTAGTACTACCTCTACCGACCCTAAGCCAAGCCCTAAGCCGGAAGCCCTGATCCTAACCATAAAATTAGGTACTAGATCTAGATCTAGGATTACAATACTATACTACTAACAACCCAACACCCCTTTTTTAAAGAAGATTCCATTATCAGACACTGGTATCTATAATCATCCGAAGTTTTTAGTTCGTTTTAAACTAAATTACTTAATTTATTATTTATTGTCACTCACTGCCATTCACAACACACCTCTCCATGACAACTCTTCTTACGTTTCAATCTAGATCTAAAGATAATCACAAATCGGTTACACTTTTTAAGTGGCCTTGCACCCAGAGTTCCTCACTAGTGATCATCAAATAGCGGTCACGTGGTTAAAAAAAAATTTGGTTGTCATTCAAAAGCCATGTTTTATAAAAAAAAGTTGTTAGCAAAATTTGATTTATTTTTTCACAGAATGATAACCCTAATAGTTCTACAACCTCAAAGTTATTTTTGTAACCTCCAGGCTGATATTTGAAAAGTTCTATTAATTTTAATGAGATCGACTTTAAAATTTAGCCATCATTCTCCAAAGCAAATTTTAAAATGCTTTTCTGGCATATTTAGCCTTGCCACCTTATAACATGAAAACCCGCCATTTTGCTCGTGGTAAACATTTTTAAAAGTAATTCTAAGAAGGTCTCTCTAATACCGCGTTTACACTTACGACAATGTATACTATCAGAGTTTCTTTACCGCCCCCCCCCCCCCCGAACGAAATGAAATTTATATAATTTATATAGAAAATATATACTTTTAACAGTGTCCGCCCCCCCCCCCCGAAGAAAGTTTACCGCCCCCCCGAAGATTTCAAGTGCCCCCCCGGAGAAAAAAGTCTGGAAGAAACACTGTATACTATACATTTCTGGAACACAAAGCCCGCCAAAATAAAATTTGTCTTGAAACAATTTGTTCACAGAACATGTATACTTTAGCGTTCACACTAGAACATTGTTATAGAACATTTTATAAAACGATCATGACCTTTGACCCGGAGCGTCTGCTATATAGGCCCGGATAATTAAATAATGAGAAATCAAAGTTAAAAAAAAAAGATAGTGGGCACACAGTTGTTTTTTTTTTTTTTAAAGGAAAATGGTGTAGCCACGGTGCTTGCGATTCAACAATGAATTATCTAAAAATCAGAGAACATGCAAGATTTTATAAATTTTATGCCAGCTACTGGAGCTAGACAGTTTTTATAAATATAATGCTGTGTATAATACCACGGGTCGTAGACATTACCCACCTGTTATTACCCCTCCCACAGTACAATCACCCTTTCCCACCCCAACCCCATGGTAGCCATTTCCCCAGCTTCTTTAATTGCTAGTCTATATCCTTCAGAAACAGCTTCCAATAAACAGGGCTAAATATTTGTTTGCTGAAAGTAAAGGTCCGATTTTCTCCGAAAACTTGCATCTGCCAAGTTCATTAGGGGTCATCCATTTATGACGTCCACACGCGGGGGGTCCGAAAAAAACAGACTTTTGTGGACGCATATGGACTTTAATAAGGAAAAAACTTGGATTTTTGTGGACTGGGGGGGGGGGGGGGGGGGGGTCCAAAATCCAAAAAAATGTGGACGTCATAAATGGATGGCCCCTTAAACGTATCGTGATCGTGTTATCACTATACTGAGTGTATTCAGAGGCGTAGCGACCACTCCCGGCGCCCGGGGCGAACATTCAGTTTGGCGCACCCCATATATATATATATATATATATATATATATATATATATATATATATATATATATATATATATATATATATATATATATATATATATATATATATATATATATATATATATATATATATATGCGTGTGTGTTTGTGTGTGCGACAGTCTGGAAAAAAAATAACAATTACGCTTATTGTCGTTCCCTAAAACTTCACTGGACGCCAATTAAATTCCCCTTAAGATGCCGAAACGAATAAAAAGTAGAAAATGAAAAGAGCTTAGAACAGTGGGCTCCATCGAACCCGAGAGGTTCGGTAATTCAGTCTCAGGGCTTCCGCGGAGGTCAAGACAGACACCCGACTCATACGACTCACGATCGAATTTTGTCGGCGTGGACGATACAACTATTATAAAGTGTTCGATGATTGCGCATATGAAACTGGTAGGGTTTGGTACTCCAAAAAGAACCACTGCTTTAGAGTGTATTTTGTAGAAGGTGCAAGCCTTATTTGGTCTACTTTTGGTCGTGTCTTTAGAACAATTTCGATAATAGTAGGCCAATATTGCAATTTTGAATTATCAGTTAGGTTGAACAAAGTAATAATCAGTACAATATACTAATTTTCTTCTCTCTTAAAATTTTGGCAAAGAGTGCCGCTTCCCATCCACCCGCTGCGACAGTCTGCTATTTTACTGATCGGATAGCGATACAAGAATACAAGAATCCGTTATATTTATTTCTCTTTTATGCAGTGATCCAGGCAAGATGTAATGCAATCAAGTAAAAGTATCTGATCTATCACTGTAATAGATTGACGATAGAAGCATGTGATAGTATATAAAACGTTTATTGGCCTTCAACTACATGATGGTAAGAGAGAGGGCGGAAGTCACGAGACACAACCATATATATAGATATAAGGGACATCACTCAAGATAACAGTATAAATATAATACTAATACAAGAAGAGTGAGTTCCCTTGGCTTCACAAATCTCACTATATTACATCCCTTTACCCTTAGTAAACACAACACATCTCTCAATAGAACAATTTACAGTATCCTAAAATCACCAATTATATTGTAACATGAACATTATGGTAGATTACATCCTTACAAACAATGCACAATATGTTACAACATAATTAAAATACAAAACAATGATGTCAAAGTCCTTTTGACCCTTAAAATCATAGGTCTAACTTATCTAGGACTTTGATTGTCCTGTTTGACCTTCTCAGTGGCTTTTGATTTGGTGACTCAATATTCTGACCATCTGGATTCTCTATCTCAGGAAATCTAGGATCTAAATCATTAATTCCAGAATTTACATTTTCTGACTCTAGACCACTTGGTTCACTCATATCAATAGAACTTGGTTGTGGAACAAACTGAGTTGTTGTGAACTGTTCAGATTTGGTGGGATTGATAGATTCACACTTATTATCTGCACAAGTTATTTTTAACTGGTCTGCATGTCTACGGACAATAAGTCCATCATTTGTTTTTACTTTATAAGACACAGGTCCTGTACATTGAACAATTTGACCTGGTATCCATTTTTCCCTTCTCCCATAATTTCTTAGATACACATTATCATTAACTGCAAATTCTCTTTCAATGGATGTCTTGTCATGATTTAATGGAACTATTTTTTTTTTGTTTTGAATTGGCATCTGAAAGTATTATGCTATTATTCAGATCCTTAACTGACATAGATTTCTTTGTTTGATCAATTTCTTCAGGTAATCTGATAGTGCTTTTTGGTAACCAAAAATACTGTTTAAAAGTACTATCCTGGACCATATCAATTTGCAACTGTGATCCAGTATTTGAAGTGGGTGTATTAAATGGCAAAAATCTTTTTTCTTTTGATGTTATCCTTTTAGTTTCTGTAAGTGCTAATGATGTTAGCAAGTTGTTTGATGATCACATTCCTTCTTACTAATGTATTCTCTTTAAAAGCATTTGAAATTGCCATATCGCCATAATCATTTATTAAGTTATAAATACTTTGTTTGGGTAACTCTGACTGATAATGGACTGCATCTTCTCGATCTTTTAGACTTAATTCCATTTTTCTTATTTTATATGGCCTTAAGTCATCATTCACAGACTCTTCAGGCCAACCATTCTTACAGTACTCATATACTTTTATTAAGCACTCATCTTTTTGTGTTTCTCTTTTTACATCATTCACATCTATATTGGAGTTATCCATGATAGTGAAGAGAACAAATACATCTTCTGGAACATAGCCAAGGCTTTGGTTTTTTAAAGGTAATCTACTAAGACTATCTGCACTATTCTCAGATCCAGGTTTGTGTTTCAATTCATAATTGTATGCAGTTAGTGTAATAGCCCATCTTTGAATTCTTGGTGAGGCATGCTAAGGTAGGGGTTTGTTTTCTCCAAATAAACCTAGTAATGGTTTATGATCTGTAAAGATGGTGAACTTCCTACCAAACAGAAACTTATGAAATTTCTTAACACCAAAAATGATGCCTAAGCCTTCCCTATCTAACTGAGAATAATTTTTCTCAGCCTGGCTCAAAGATCTACTGGCAAAAGCAATGGGTCTGTCACCCTTTTCATCTATGTGGGGTAAGACTGCTCCTACACCATCTGGTGAAGCATCACATGTCAATACAAGTCTTTTCCCTGGGTCATAGTGAGTTAGTAAGGTGTCAGAAGACAAAGCTTCTTTTGCTGTATTAAAAGCAGCATCTTGTTGTTTACCCCAGTGCCAAGTTGCATTTTTCTGTAGCAGCTTGTACAGTGGTGATAGTTTACCAGATAGATTCCCTATGAACTTTGCATAGTAATTTATCAAGCCCAAAAAAGCTCTTAGTTGTTGGGTATTTTCAGGTTTGGGTGCTTCTTTAATGGCTTTTGTTTTCTCAGGTTGAGGTCTGTAACCTTGCTTGCTTAAAATATAACCAAGAAAACTAATTTCTGTCAGCATGAATTGACATTTATCTTTGTTTATCTTTAAACCTTTTTCACCAACTATTTTCAAGACTTTATCAAGTGTTTCAAGATGTTCAGTGTCATTCTTACCAGTTATGTACACATTGTCAAAGTAAACACAAACATTTGGAATATCCTTAAAAATACTGTCCATGACAGCTTGGAAAATTCCAGGGCTAGATGATATACCAAAACATAATCTTTCATATTGGTAGAGTCCTTTATGTGTGTTTATTGTCGTATAGACTTTTGGATCTGGATGCAGTTCTAGTTGAGTGTAAGCATGACTAAAGTCTAATTCAGTGAATTTGTCTCCTCCTGCCAAATTCAAAGAAATTTCCTCAATGTTAGGAATAGGATACCTATTTAGCTCTATTTGCTTATTCAGTGTAGCTTTATAGTCTCCACAAATTCTTACAGAACCGTCCTTCTTTAACACTGGTACAATGGGCGTTGCCCAATCGGAATAGTCTACCTTCTTTATGATGCCATTAGATTCCAATCTACTTAGCTCATTTTCAATTTTATCCCTCATTGCATAAGGTGGAACTCTAGCTTTGCAGTATCTTGGATTTGTGTCTTTAATGCTTATCTTCACTGTTCTATCATTTAGTAATCCTGGATTACTAAAAACACTTTCATT